CGCGAGTCCAACCCGCTATAAGGTTGCTTGGCCTTTCATTAGACCCGACCCGAACTCTTTTCACTCTGAGTCATGTAAAGCTCGAGCTTTTTATTCCCATTAAATACAATGTTCGCAGATCGGCGAAGCAAGCTTCGGCGTACATCCTGAATTCCCCAGCGTCCATGCAAGGAAATATATTGCTGGGAGTACTGGAAGATGCAACTTTTGGACATTGTGCCCGATAGCAACATATTGAAGAAAGAAATTAACACATCTACCTTTGAGGAACTCGCTTGGCTCCTAGACTTACCACTGCTTCCTACGCAATGGCGCCAAGCATTCCACCATCGTTACCAAAATCTATACGAGAGTCTGAGAGTTGGCTTTCATAATCTGAGACACCTTGCTGAGCGCACATTTGCGGACGAAAATCGAGGAGTGTAAGATAAACGTATTAAATAGATAAATTTATATTCTCGGTGTTGCACGAGGCACGCTAACAAGGAACTGCATACGCCGTCTAGTAAACGCGAGTTCTTGTTACACCCACCACAACAATTAGACAATGCACTGGAATTAGAGAAGCAACTTGATCGCCTGGATTCGGTTATGGGTGCGTCATTGAGCAGCGCCGTACGGAAGTAGTCTGTCATCAGCCGCCCTGCTGTCGAACTGAACTAAAACTCTCAGTAAACTGATACGCGTCTCAGTAGCCTGGGAGAAACTGCGAATCTTCGTGAGCACAAACAACGGACTACGTCTACAAGATGTTCATTCACTGTACCAGCTGTATCCAGTGCGCATTGTGCAGCTGTTCACCTCGTGTTTACGTTTTTGTGGAACAACCGTGTCAACATTCTGGTTGATAGGAAAGTTACAAGCTTCCTAGTTCGAAACCGTATCGTCCCAGCTGCTGCGATCATCTTCCTGGACAGTTCGGTGAAGCTGGTGGCAGCCAACCAGACCGCCATTAAACCCTTAGGTTGGACTACAGCTACAATAAAGTTAGGAGGAATGTCCGCCGCACACCTTTTTTATTGTCATTGACCTTCCTTGAAAAGTAGTGTTAGGAGTCGATATCCTTTCCCGTTTTAAAGCTAAAATTAATTCGGCCAGCAAAACCTTGGAAAGCAACCACTGCCATTCGTTTCTACCAACAGTCCGGTGATGGTTTGCACGGTAGAAGCGACGCCTGTACCACGATACATTCGAAACATTTTTTGGAGCTACCGACTTTTACCGGCAATGAATTGGAAGACATTTTAGTAAAATACCAACATGCCTTTGCTTGGTCAGTGGACGATATGGGGCGGTGCAACTTTTTAAAACACCCCATCGACACTGACAATGCATCACCGACTCGATAACCAGCTAGACGGCTGCCCCTTCAATTCCAAGAAGAATTAAAACGCATTATTGAAGACCTTTTGCGATGCGATGTCATTCGACCGTCAAAATCTCCTGGGGCATCGCCCATCATACTTGTCAAAATAAAAACCGTCAAACTACGGCTTAGTGTAGATTATCGGAAGCTAAGTTCGGTTACTCGAAAGGACTCATTTCCGTTACCGAGAATGGATGACACAATAGACGCCCTGAGTGGCTCATGTTTGTTTACTACCTTGGACCTGACTTCGGGTTATTGGCAGGTGAAGCTACACCCAGACGAAAGGTGTAAGTCTGCGTTTCTTATCCCGTCCGATTTTTACGAATTCCAGACCATGCCGTTCGGATTAACAAATGCGCTCGCAACTTTTCAGCACGTAATACACTCAGCTTTAGCAGTTGATACCGAAACACTCTAGTCTACTTGTACTATAGCATTGTGCATGGCAGGACTGCGGAAGAACACACAGAGCCGTTTAGGATCGCCTATTGCAGCTGGGGTTAAAACTTAAGCCCTCGAAGTGTCAATTCCTAAGGGAAGAAGTGGCCTATTTAGGCCACATTGCGTCTGGAGAAGGAGTGCGCTGTGACCCGGCGAAGGTCGAGCGGGTCAGCTCATGGCCGATTCCAACCAACACTGACGAAGTGCGTTGCTTCCTCGGCCTTGCCTCTCACTGTCGGCGTTTCGTTCGGCAGTTTTCCAATATCGCTAGTCTGTTAAACGATATTCTGGAGACCGATCAAGCTTTCATTTGGGGAAGTGCGCGACAAGAAGCGTTTGAGACGCTTCGAACTGCACTGTGTGAAGCGCCAATTTTGACATTCCCTGACACGCGTCCATCCGCGGACCCTTTCATCTTGGACACGGATGCCAGTGACACTGGCACTGCAACTGTACTGTCGCAACGCACGGCAGAAGGAATGGAAACGCTGAACGCGTATGCGAGCAGAAGTCTCTCGCGAAGAGAGCGCGGTTATTGCAAAACACGAAAGAAAATGCCGACACTTGCGTTTTTCATCAAGCACTTTAGGCACTATTTGCTCGCCCGCAAGTTCGTTGTGCCTGCTGAACACCTTTCATTAATTTGGCTTCACAACGTTCGAAACACCGGAGGCAGATTGCCCGTTGACAGGAGCAGTTGCAGGAATACAACTTTTAAGGTCAGCACCGTCCGGGCACAAAGCACTTGAATGCCGACGCCTTATCCCGAAGGCCTGTCAGGGATCACGAACCATGTCCATCTTACATTGCTGCTTACATAACCGCCGTCATCCTAGGCGCCCCGGAGACATAGGAATGGATTCAGTTGCACTCGATGGACCCGGAGCTGAGCCGCTTGTATAATCACATCGTCCGGGATGAAGACCGACCGACGCATCAGAAGCTGGCAGGCGCCAGCTGTGAAATCAAATGCCTGTGGTCTTTATGGTCGCATTTACACGTGACCGATAGTGTCATGTATTTCTAAAACGGACCGGCTTGTTTGCGAAGGATTGCTGTGCCAACTTCCGCAAATCTTGAAGTGATGCTGTAGTGGTTATTAATCTTTCACATTTTGTCTTTCCTATCATCATTTTTATCATGACATCTTTTGTACAGGTTGTTTGAATTAACGATTACAATATACTTCTTCGTGACCCGCGCTTCGTCATGCTGATTTTTGGCTGTGCTGCTTCTGCGTGCGTACGGTGCCATCAAATCTGCTTGCGAATTGGATATTATACTCCGAATAACTATCGAACGTCTATTTCCATGGTGCTCGATGTGTGCCATAGGTATAGCACAATCTGCGATTCAAACTTAATTGTGATTAGACTGAGTTGACTCTCTCCAACTTTTTGCGTTTACTAAGGGACTGAAATCTTCCTAGTATTCTTTCGACCACTACAATGCGAAGGATCCACGAGGAATTGGGACAGGCAGGACAGAATAAGATGGAGGCCGCAATTCGACGTCGGTTCTGGTGGCCCCATTTACGGCGTGATAT